TTCCCCATACCACGTGGCTTGTGGGATCATAGTTCCCCAACCAGGGATTGAATCCAGGCCCTCAGCAGTGAGAGCATGGAGTCCTAACCACTGGGCCACCAGGGAATTCCCCCAGTCCCTATTTTCTTATTGGCCAATTGATAGGTTTTGCTTCAGCAGTGATTGTTAGATTTCAATGTGCTGGAAGAAATTTGATTTGCTGTGCCAAAGTGCAGGCAAATAAAAAGTATACTGCTTACTAGAACTTATGGTCAATTCATCTATGACAAAGGGGGCAAGAATATACAATGGAGAAAAGACAGTCTCTTCAATAAGTGGTGCTGGGAAAACTGGACAGCTACATGTAAAAGAATGAAATTAGAACACTCCCTAACACCATACACAAAAATAAACTCAAAATGGATTAGAGACCTAAATGTAAGACTGGACACTATAAAACTCTTAGAGGAAAACATAGGCAGAACACTCTTGACACTTATATGTGGAATCTAAAATATGACACAAGTAAACTTATCTATGAAACAGAAACAGACTCAGACATAGAGAACAGACTTGTGGTTGCCAAGGGGGAGGGGGAAATAGGGGAGAGATGGACTGGGAGTTTGGGATTAGTAGATGCAAACTATTATATATAGAATGGATAAACAACAAGGTTCTACTGTTTAGCACAGGGAAATATATGTATAACTGAATCACTTTGCCAGTAGAAATCAGTACATTATCAACTATACTTCAATATAATAAATTTTATAAAAAGTGTACAGCTTATTAATTACAAACCACCTAATTACCTATCAGTGGGGGATTGATTAAATTATTGTATGTATATAGTTGTGCATATGTATGTATTTATGTATCTGTATCTTTATACATGGGAATACTTGTGATATTGTGGTTTATAATAATGAAATATATGTTTCGTCTTCATTCCATTTCCGGTACAGAGCTCTTAAAACCCTTGGAATTTCCTAAGTGATAAGAGGTGTTTGATAATGATATTCTTTTTTTTTTTTTTAATTTTTGGCTGCATTGGGTCTTTGTTGCTGCATGTGGGCTTTCTCTAGTTGTGGCGAGCAGGGGCTTCTCTTGTTGCGGAGCATAGGCTCTAGGCGCACGGGCTCAGTAGTTGTGTCTCCTGGGCTCTAGAGCGCAGGCTCAGTAGTTGTGGTGCACGGGCTTAGTTGCTCCGCAGCATGTGGATCTTCCTGGACCTGGGATTGAACCTGTGTCCCCTGCATTGGCAGGCAGATTCTTAACCACTGTGCGACCAGGGAAGTCCCCTATTTTTGATATTCTTAACAGATCCCTTCCAGCCACACCTGAGTTTGTGTTAATGAGATGACTTTTGGAAAGCTCCTAAGGATGGGGGCTGGTTGCCAGGGGAACCAACCAGGTGATGAGAGGGTTGGAACTTTCAACCTTAGCCACTGACCTCTGAAAAGGGGAGGGGCTCCAGATTAAGCTCTGTGAAAAGTCTTGAACTCGAGGATTGATCTTCCAGGTTGGTGAACCAAAAACGCATCCAGGTGATGGGGGGCGGGGTGTGCACTCCAAACTCCAAGGGGACGGAAGTTCCTGTGTTTGAGACCCTTCTGGACCTTGCCCTGTGTATCTCTTCATCTGGCTCTTCAGTCGTATACTTTAATATCCTTTGTAATAAATCTAGAACCTTCTTAGACCTTCCGTGGTCACTCTGCCTAAAATTTCGAACACCCTTGCCTGGTTACATTTCATTCTCCTTCCCTGCTTTGATTTTTCTTCTTTGTATTTATCACTGTGTAACATGCTACATTATTAATCTACTTTTTAAAAACTCCTTCATTAGCATATGAGCTAGAGAGCAGGGAATTTTGTCTGTATTTATTGAATTGCCTATTGGATTTGCATATTCTTGAAACCATTTTAATTTTAATATTTAAGAATGTAGATGTTACCTTCCCACACAAATACGGTTGAAGTTAGCATACCAGAGACATTTGTAACTCTATACTGATGTGTGTTATTTCTTGCCCAAGATTACTAGGTCCAATTACAGGGGTAAAAAAAAAAGAAAGAAAAATTTTTTTAGGAGTTTCCCTTATATGAACTCTTTCTTTGTGAATTAATTGCAAGTCAGCCATGTAATTCAGATTGAGAATGAAAGTGTCTGGTTCTGTAGAGAATTATAAGGAGAGCCATTAGGAGAAGCACAAAGTATGCTGTAAGGCCCATATTTGTTACGTGTTGACTTAGAATAGAAATATGGAAAGACCACATATTGTTAGAAAGGCATGGAAAAAGCAGAGCCTCCCTTCCTTTCATGTGGAGACTGACAAGTCCGTCAGGAATTGTTGGGGTGGGTTTGAAGAGGCTCCCCGGGCCCCCATTCGCTGGCTTTGTGCAGGTTAGTGAGCTTGGTGCCTTGGGAGTGGAGGGAGATGGACTGGCCCCTACCCTCAAAGAGCTCAGGAGGCAGAGAGATCCATGGTGGCAAGTGTGATAGATGGAATGCAACCACAGACTTGCAAGCTTTCCTGGGAGAGGGTAGGATCAGTCACGTCTGGCGGGGAGAGGTGCAATCAGGAAGGGCGTGGGGAAGATGTGAGCTGAGCGTGGCACTGAAAGGCATGAGTGGGACTCCTGGAGGTGGAGAAGGGCCCCAGAGCAGCCTGTGCCTCCTATGCTTCCCACACTTCTGTCATCTAGGGTTGTTGTCCAAAAAGCAGACTGTGACTCTGGAGGTCAAGGAGGGGAGGCAGAGATTCTGCATTTCTAACAAGCTCCCTGGTGATGCTGACGTTGCTGGTTCTAAGGACAAATCTGGAACCACAGAGCTGCCTGCCTGTGCTTCCTTGACTTTTGGGGAGGTCCGGCCTGGAAGCTCTGGCACAGGCTTGACAGGTAGTGGGTGGCGAGGCGCTCGGTTGCGGAAGTGGGGTACAGACCAGGAGCCCAAGACTGGGGTGGTTTTAGGTGTAAGACCACCTGACTTTTCCTTGATCACAGGGCCACTAACTCAGCCCCTCTGCCGCCTCCTGTTCCTGAAATTTCCCTTTGAAACTGGTGATTTCCATTGATACCTGTTTGCTTTCATGATCTCTCATCGCTTGGGACATACTGCTAGAGTGTTACTTTGGTCCTTCCGAAAGAAATTGATTCTATTGTTTGTAGATTTAAAATGTTTTTATAAACTGCCAGGCTGTCTCTTTATCATCAAGTCCAATGATAAACTTTTAAAAAGCATGGCTCATGAGTTAATTAGGTGGGCCTTATTTTGGGGTGGGACTTCTAAATGGGGGAAGGAGGTTATACAAATCCTTCTCCTAAAGCCATCAAGGGTCTCAGTCAGCCTGTGTGACCTCAGCTGAACCAGCAAGGTAGTTGCAGATCCCACCAGGACCCTGCTCTCTTGATGTTTGGCATCCTTGTGGTGGAGACTATACATGAGAAGCGTGTGTAGGCAGTGTCCACTTACTCGTGGCAGAGGCAGACTGAAACCACTGAGGGCATGTTCCTGTTTGCTTCCTCACGAGGAGCTGCACGGCACCAGCCTGGTGTCAGTGTCCTGTGGTGGGGCTTGGTTGTTCCCATGAGGAATCTGATCCTTTCATTAAGCCCCCTATACCTGTTCTTGGGTAAGAATTGGATCAGGTCACATCCCTGACCGTGATACTGCTGTCCCCAGGGGAAAAACTCCGGGGCTGTATGTGGCGGCGGTGGTTGAGTTTTATTTAAATGCTGCGGACATGTGTGTCCACAGATGTGTGCTGAACGTACACGTACATGTGTGTTTGTAATTTTCTTCCCAGATTTTGGCCCTGATCGCGTTCATCTGCATAGAGACCATCATGGAGTGCTCCCCGTGTGAAGGCCTCTACTTTTTTGAGTTTGTGAGCTGCAGTGCGTTTGTGGTGACTGGAGTCTTGCTGATTCTGTTCAGTCTCAACCTTCACATGAGGATCCCCCAGATCAACTGGAACCTGACAGTGAGTAGAAATCACGCTCTCAGATTAGGAAAGCATCGGGTACTGCACGGCTCCCAGGGAAAGCAGGAATCAGTCCATGGCATGTTTGGTTCCAGCTCTTTTTGATACTTAAATATTCCATTGTAATGCAACTGTGAAATTTTAAATTTCCTTACTGGGTTGAATAAAATGACTACAAAATTAATGGAATCTTCACTAATGATAGAAACATAACAATTATTCTGACCCCTTTAAAGATGTCATTTCGATTTTGGGGTCCTCTGAGAAGATTGGTTATGTTGATATTTATAGAATATGGGAAAGAGAAGATGGAATTACTACGTTTGCATATTTTTCACACTGGACCCGAAAGCTGTTTGCAAAAATATTGATTCAGGAAGAATTGAAAATATGAATGAAATTGCCATTAACTTGTGAAACCTAGGAATATTATTAAATTCAAAGCAGCTGGGAGGTCCCAGACGGTTTGCTGGTTTGATCAGAGAGTCTTGAGGAAATGTGTCCTCTTCCCTCTGTGGTTTGGGGGTCTTAACTCTGTTTGACAGCCTTACCTTCTGACCGGCATAGGCATCTCAGGGCCGGTCACTCCCAGGCCCCTTTTCCTGGGCTTGTGTAACTTGTCCTTACTGTGCCAAACGGAAAAGGGAACTTCACAGCCCTCGGTTTTCTTGATATTTCTTTGCAGATCAGCACGTGCGGGAGCTCACAGGGAACCAGTTAGGGAGACACAGGCAAGCACTATCAGCTGCCTCTCCTTCTGTGCCTGGGGGTGGGTGGGGGGCTCTGAGACCACCTGCCCTCATGCAGGCTCCTCTCTTGGCGGCCGGTGCTGGGTGTATGCAGCACCGTGGAAAGTGTGGTCCGAGTGCAGGAGCCCAGGAGGAGGAGGCCTGGGCTGGTCACCTTGCCTGGTGGGGCCACTCCCATGGTGTTCATGTGGGGGACCAAGAGGAGATGGTTTTCCTGACAGAGTTCTCTCTGTGTTGTTCAAACTCTTTTAGGAGGAAAAATAAAAAGACAATTGGACTAGAAAAGTTGTCAGTTGCAAACTCAGATGGTTTTGTCCCGGCATCGAAAACTAAGAAAAAAGCTCTAAAACCTCAAGATACTGGAGGCATTTTGTCAGTTTTTGGTGACAGATTTTAATGTCTCAGCTCTTTTTAAGATGAAGTCTGTGTTATCCATAAGAAAATGCTTACAGAGTTGTGCTCTAAACTGGTAGTGTAATGAACAGGTAGCGCAAGAGAACCTCACAAACCGGCCCCCCACCAACTCACACACAGGCTCCATGGGGGCAAGGTCATTGTTGTGGGGCAAGGTACGTTGGAAACCCAGGTCCCCGGGAGTTTCTAAGGCCACAGTAAATACTTTCTGAGGGAGGGGCTGGACTGGGCTGTGAATGAAACCATGCTGGAGATCCTGTTTGACAAAGAAGCAGCTGCTAGGATGGTTAAGACCCAGGGGCGGGACTTCCGTGGCGGTCCAGTGGTTAAGAATCCGCCTTCTAATGCAGAGGACGCAGGTTTGATCCCTGGTTGGGGAACTAAGATCCCACATGCTGCGGGGCAAGAGCCCGCATGCCGCAACTAAGACCCGATGCAGCCAAAAAAAAAAAAAAAATCAAAAAACCCCACTGGCTTTAAGTTAGGCCAACCTGTCTGCATTCAAGTCCAAGGTGGATCTTAAGAGCTGGGTATGACCCTGGGCAAGTCACTTAGAGCCCCAAGTTGAGATGATAATATTTTTCTTACAGGGCTGTTTTAAGAATGAAATGAGACAGTGTGTATATAGGCTCCAAAGCAGTGGGTGCTGTTGCCAGTATGAGAAATATTAACCTTACTGTGAGTCAGAGGCCCTTGGTGTCTGTCAGCCACATCATTCTCCTGTAAACTTCCACCAGCTTTGACTTCACTCCCTTAATTCTGTCTTACCTACTTATTTGACAGCCATAAATCTGTTAGAAGACTTTATACTTCACTATATTATATAACATAGGCAATAATAGCCATTAGCTTGTAATAATTTATAATGGAGTGTAATCTGCAAAAATACTGAATCACTGTACTGTACACCTGAAACTAATATAATATTGTAAATCAACTACATTTCAATTTAAAAAAAAAGGATCACTGGGAATTCCCTGGCAGTCCAGTGGTTAGGACTCTGCGCTTTCACTGCCACGAGCCCAGGTTCAATTCCTAGTTGGGGAACTAAGATTCCACAAGCTGTGTGGCGCAGCCAAAAAAATAATCAGTTAGTTAGGTAATTAATTAATTAAAAAGGATCACAGATCACCATAGCAACAGCAGAAAAGACTTCATACTTCAGATGTCTGACTAATTCATACTGGCCTTTATCTTATCTCCAGAAATACCTATTTGTTGAGCTTTCTTAAATCCTGATTTTTCTATTTTAACCGTGAAAGACTTTCACTGGTTGACAACCACATTTTTGGGGTTATATCGAAGTGCATCTTTTTCACTGGAAAGTTAACATCCCTCCTGTCCTTTCGGATGGTGTTGGCTAGGGCCGATGACCGGGTGGTGATGTGGTCACTTGAGAACACTTTCTGTCCTTTGGGATCCTTTGCAGGATTTCCACCCTTTTAGAGCAGGTGAAGGTGTCTGCTTATCCAACAAAAGAGTATGTAAGTTTCATGGACTCGAGGAGATGGTACTTACTGATGGGAGCCCAGGTCATCTGTTCTCAGGGACGGGAGCAAAAGTGATTTCTTAGAGCTGATCCGGCTGGAATCATCACAGTGGGTTGGCCTTGGGTGTGTGTGTTTCCCTAACAAGGTGGTAGGAGTATTCTTGACCCCAAGAGAGCCAGTTGATGAGTGACGTAGGGTGTGATTGGTATAGATTTAGAAAACTGGGCCATTTTGGGAGATAAGTTGACTCACATATGCATGAAAAATGGTACATAAGGAGGACAATGCAAAGTATATATTTTATACAAGCATTATTTGATGCAATCAGAAAGAGTGTGTTAATATCAGCTTGTTTTTTTGTTTGTTTTTTTTAGTGACTCTCTGGGACTTATTCTGTGATGTGTGTTTTTCTCTGTATATTGGGAGCTCACAGGCCCATGTGTTCTACCTGTGTTCACCTTGATTGGTGCCCCTGGCCTCCTCTGCCACCCCGTCCCTCTCTCCTTCCATCCTCTTCCTACCATTGACCCCGGGCGCTCCCACTCTCCTTAGCCGGCACTCAGAGCCCTCAAGCCCTGTAAGCGCAGCCAAACTTTTTAAAGCAGACGGAGGTCCGCACACGCCTTCTCTACTTCGCTGCTTCCTGATCTCTTGTCTCAGCGTTTATCGTCAAATACAGCATATTCAGAAAAACTTGTAAAAGTAAATGTACAGTTTAGTGAAGAATGATAAAAGACTGTGTAACCATAACATGGGTCAACAGATAGGATAGTGTCAACACCCCAAAAAGCCTTCCCTGTGTCCTTCCCGAACAGGAGGACTGCCTCTTCCCCTCCCCCATCCACTCCCCTGACTTTGTCCTTGAAAGTCCTCTGGTCAGCATCACTGGGGGCCTCTGTTCTCCTGGATCCTATGGTTGCTCCCCAGCCCTCCCCGCCGCCCCCAACCGTTTCAGCGCCGGAATACGCTCAGCTCAGTCCCTCCTGCCCTACTCTCTCCTCTTGCCTCTGATGACACCACAATCTCAGTCTCTCTTCTTTCTGTTTGGTGTTCCTTCTTAGTGGCCTCTGTGGCCCCTGCTCCTCCCACAGATGTCTCCCGACCTGAGAACCCAGGCTGGGTGCTGTGGTGAGTTGAGAACAGTCCCCCAGAAGGGCCACTTGCAGAGTTCTGAGGCTTTCGCCACGACTCATTGTGTAGTGTTTTCTGACATTACTTTTGACACCAAGTATGTGGTTTTTTTCTGACACCAAATCTGTGTAGTTTTTCCACACTGAGTACTTCTCTAATTCCAAGACCAACTGGGTGTCCAGCAATTCATTTCGGTTCTGACACTAACTCCCAGAGTTAGTGCAGACCCCACAGGTTAAAGGGCTCAGTCCCGTGAGACTGCCCCCGACACAGATGGGGTCCCAGGTGACCTGCACTTCTGCTTGGCCAGCTGCAGATTCAGGAGTTCCCACAAGCCCCTCCTCAGGTTCGATAATTTTCTAGAACAACTTAAAGAACTTGGAAAAGTGCTTTATTTATGATTTCTGGCTTGTTCTAAAGGATACAACTCAGGAGTAGCCAAAAGGAAGAGATGCATAGGGCAGGGTCCAGAGGAGTCTCTGTCCCCATGGAGTTGGGGGGCAGCACCCTCTTGGCACGTGGAACCCCGTCACGTCATTCAGGCTTTTATGGAGATTTCATTACGTAGGCGTGGTTGATTAAAATCTTTGGCCATTTGGAGGTTGGACTCAATCTCCAGCCCCTCTCCCGCCCACAGGGGCTGTGGAGCTGAAAGTTCCAACACTCTAATCACCTGGCTGGTTTTTCTGATAACCAACCCCCATCCAGAAATTATCTAGGGGCTTGAGAGTCACTTCATTAGCATAAACTCAGGGACAGTTGAAAGGGCCTCGTTAAGAATGACAAAAGATGGGGCTTCCCTGGTGGGCAGTGGTTGAGAGTCTGCCTGGGGGTCATGGGTTTGAGCCCTAGTCTGGGAGGATCCCACATGCCACGGAGCACCTGGGCCTGTGAGCCACAACTACTGAGCCTGTGCGTCTGGAACCTGTGCTCCACAACAAGAGAGGCCGCGGTAGTGAGAGGCCCGCGCACCGCGACGAAGAGTGGCCCCCGCTTGCCACAACTAGAGAAAGCCCTCGCACAGAAACGAAGACCCAACACAGCCAAAAGTAAATTAAAAAAAAAAAAAAAAAAAGAATGACGAAAGACACTCCTATCACTCAGGAAATTCCAAGGAATCTGGGACAAAGACCAAATATATATTTTTCATTATGTCAAACTCATCCTTTCTAGGGCTCAATTTCCTCATCTCTAAAGGCCCTTTATTATAGGTATTTTGGATGGTAATTAGGTTAGGGCTCAGTGAGACACTGGGTGTTATATGCTTGGCACAGTGGGCTCTCTGTAGATGGTAGCTGCCCCTGTCATCAGTACTACGATCATCCCTTTGATACTGGGGCCATCTGAGCACAAGTCAGTGCACTGTATGGTCCGAGTGGTTGTAAACTTCTTCTCTTGTCCATGTGTAGGGCTGACTCGAGCTAACCACAGAGCCCAGTGGTATTGAACACCTGCTTTGGGCCAGGTTTTGGGAACTGAAAGCGCAGGGTAGGTAGATGCCACTCTACTGTGGTATGTGTGCTCTGGGTGATCCCGTTTGGTGTGAGGCCTGGGAGAACACAATGGATTCCTCGGGGCAGGGGGCCTGGAGCCAGGTCAGTCAGGGAAATTCTGAGAAAACGCCAGATTCCAGCTGAGCCTTGAGGGATGAACAGGTGCTCGCTGGGCACAGAGTATGGAAGGGTGGGATACGTTGTAGGATGGCCCACTCTCTAGGATTGGATCAGGGTCATAGACTCAGGGTCCCCTGGGGCTGCGCATGTGGCGGAAATGGGCAAGTGAGAAGATGGGCCAGGGGTCTGGGAGACGGAGAGGTTGTTCTCCTACTCAGTCACAGCCAATTGTGTTACTTCATGGGCCTTCAGGACAGTTTTTCAAGAGCAGCTGAAAGATGGATTTTGTTTGTTTTTTTTAGAAGTTTATTATGTGCAGTCTTCTGATGTTTAAATGCTGGCTTGTTCAAATCTATTTTGAACAGTGTACAAGTCAAACCTCTCTGTGGGCCGGATCCCGATGATCAGTTATTGGAGTTACTTCGGCTCCCACCTGTGCTTATTGGTGTGTTAATGAAGGAGAGACCAGAAAGCATGTGCGTGTGAGGGTGCCCTTCCTCCTCATCTCCTGGCCTAAGAAGGGGCTGCAACCTTAGGTGTTCTGGGCCCCCCCACCCCAGGAAGCAATTTGGCTGGGTGTGAGACTGCAGGGAGGGGAGCTACCACAGCGGCAGACATGAAGCACGTGACCGATGAGTACATGCCCCATTAAAAGCATTAAAACAAACAAAACCAAAAAGCACCAGTGTTGACTAAACCCAACCCATCCCCAAATCCACATCTGAAGGCATGCCTGTGTCTGCTCCCTAATATGAAGGGTGAATCTACAAGCCTTAATTTTGTTTCATGGCCAAGGAGCTCAAGATATTGATGCTGACTAACTTCTGCAGTATTCCAGTTTTAAGCCTTTTAAACTGTGCAAGTAGTAAGTGTTTGTTATAGAAAAAGTGGAAGATACAGATAATAAAGGAAAAATAAAATCATGTGATGACCCAAGAGAAATGAAAACATATGTCTACATAAAAGCTTGTAAGTGGGCTTCCCTGGTGGCGCAGTGGTTGAGAATCTGCCTGCTAATGCAGGGGACACGGGTTCATGCCCTGGTCTGGGAGGATCCCACATGCCACGGAGCAACTAGGCCCGTGAGCCACAACTACTGAGCCTGCGCATCTGGAGCCTGTGCTCCGCAACAAGAGAGGCCGCGATAGTGAGAGGCCCGCGCACTGCGATGAAGAGTGGCCCCCGCTTGCCACAACTAGAGAAAGCCCTCGCACAGAAACGAAGATGCAACACAGCAAAAATAAATTAATTAATTAATAAACTCCTACCCCCAACATCATCTAAAAAAACATAAAAAATAAAAAAAGAAATGGTAACATGACGTGGTTGGTTAAAATGTGGATTTTGCTGTGGAGATATATCAAATAGCATCATTAACTGTTATCCTCTTTGCCTTCCTCTGTGTGACCAATACCCGTGGGCCATCAAGACTAAAATATGGAGGCAGCAGAGAGGCGGGTGTTGTGCTTTTTATTTTGAAAGTTCTTCAGTTGCGTTTAGGGCAAGGCATGAAATGCTTCTTTTCAAGTGATTTTATTTTGTCTTATTCTTTAGGATTTGGTCAACACTGGACTCAGCACTTTCTTTTTCTTTATTGCTTCCATTGTACTGGCTGCTTTAAACCACAAAACCGGAGCTGAAATTGCTGCCGTGGTAAGTGAACTCAACGGGTTGAAACAGGGCTGATTTGTACACTTTCTGTGCCTTGCTCCTCTGGTCCCCTGGCCTGTGTCCTACTCCTTCTCCTTTAGCTTTTTCTTTGCTAATGATACTGTTACTGGGCCAACGGAGGTCCCAGTTCAGTGCTGCGGTTCTTAAAGTGTGGTCCCTGGAACAGCAGCCTCAGCATCACCCGAAGAACGTGTTAGAAATGCCCTTCTCGGCCTCCCCCAGAGCTGCCGAGTCAGAAACGTGTTTTAACAAGCTCTCAGATGCACACTCAGGTTTGCGAACTCCTGCTTTAGTCTCTTCCCAGTGGAGCCCTGGATGTCTGTTAGTGGTGTTGCTTTTAAGGGCCTTCCCTGCCGAGATGGGGTGTTAATGAAGCAGATGCCTGCGGTCGGGGTGGGGTTGGGGAGGATGGGGCCAGACAATGAAAGAGTTTCTCCCTCTGTGTTCTGCATTTCCTTATTGTTCTGTATTTGCAAAGAATATGTAGCACTTTTGTAATTGGGGGGGGATGGTTAAAAGGTTTATTAAAAATGCTAAACTGTTAGCTCTCCAAGGTTTTAGTCAGTAGATTCATCAGTCATTATCTTATCATTAAAACTCCACTGCTTCTCAGCCTGGAGCTGCCCACCCAGAGCTGCCCAGGTGAGTGGCAGCTGGATAGCAGGTGGGGGCTGGGGGCTGGGATTTGGAACGTCAGGTCTTGCGGTTTGATTTGGGGCTCACACAGCGAGACCCTGATTTTTCATCTCATGGTGTTTCATCTACATTGTATTTTCCTCCGAGTACCAGTGTCATGAAGGTCTGTGAAAGAGGCACTTCTGTTTCCTTGTAGAACCACTTCTGCTGGAGACTAATTGCTTTAAAAGAGACCTTAGCGTGCCTTTCTGTGGGTCACACGACTATGAACTTGGCCATGACAAGCTGAACATTCAGCGGGGCTGCGTGTTGGGGTTAGAGCTGGGAGAGCTGCTGCAGCTCGGCTCATTGTAAGCTGCCCAGAGACCCCTCAGACGGCTGACGTGCCCGTGGACTAACTGGGTTTGTGTCTCGTAGATATTTGGCTTCTTGGCAACCGCGGCGCACGCGGTGAGCGCGTTCCTGGCCGCGCAGAAGTGGAGAGTCAGCCTCCGCCAGCAGAGCGCCAGTGACTACATCCGCGCCCGCACGGAGTCCAGAGACGTGGACAGCCGGCCCGAGATCCAGCGCCTGGACACGTGAGGACGCGCCAGAGTCCTCTTCCCTCTGCTCCTCGTGCCCGTCCTTTCAATCAAGTTTTTCTGTCCCTCATCACGTCAGATTTTCATGTGACTAAGTTGAATTTTGTCCTCCTCGGTAAAAGTTCATTTTGGGAAAGGGTTTTCACAGTGGCCCTCGTGGCGGGTGCCTGAGGCAGGGAGTCCCGTGCCCAGCTGTTCAGAAAGAGGTGGGCGGGACAGGTCCCCAGATCCTCTGGTTTGGTGGCCGTGGGAGCCGCTGGCCTCACAGGCTGCCATGTCCACTTCACTGTCCCTGAGCACAGGCTTCACGTCTGACTCTGAGCCACCTGTCATATGTATTTGTGACAAGTCAGGACTTTGGATTAAATGGGGGCTGCTAGGAGTGGGGGGCGGAAATCAAGGAATGAAGGTACATGGTTGGAACAGTCGGTGAGCAGTGATTCCGGGGCAGCTCCCATAGCTGCCCCAGGTCAGCTTTAGTCTCGCTGCCAGGATCCCCCTCTCCCCGTTGTTTTCCATGCCCGGGGCATCGAGACACCAGCACAAGCCTGGAAAGCCACGTGAGACACTGAGGGTCTTGGCGGTGGGTGTGCTGGCGGAGCTTTTCGCTGGGTCTGGGGTTTGAGGCGGGTGGGAAAAGCTGGCATCCTCTTGGCACAGCGCCGCGGCACTGCTGACCTGTGGGAGGGTCACCATTTGTTTCCTACCCTGCTGAGAAATCCCTTGATGCTTCCTCAAATGAATCACCTCCCTGAATCTCAGATTCTCCTCCAGGAATGTGGGGACCATCTTTTTTCCAGTTTCCTCCCTTTCCTGAATACTTTGAGGCTGGACTGCAGATTCTCTGTCATTTTACCTTCCCAGGTAAAAGCCATGAAAGAAATACAGTCCATTCCCCCAGCCCGAAACCTTGCCCATTTGCTGGCATCATGGACCACAGGTGGGGACACACCTCTGTTTTAGGGGTGTGCACTGATTTTCAAATGCCTGAGAAGAGTTCTAGAGTGATTCTGAGTAGATCTGTCTAGGATTTGAAAATACTTGAATCTGCACCATGACACACCCTTTCACTGATGTTTCAGAGGAACGGTCGTCCCTGTGCCTCAGGGTCGTAACCATGAATGTCGATCTTGGAATCTGTAGGGGAAAGTTCCAGTTATGTAAGGTTTTGAACTGATTCTCGATAAAGTGACGATTATTGTGGTGACTGAGTTAAATGAGCCCCTACGATGCTGTAGTTTTTTATTTTTTTTCTGTTGGAGACTAATTGTATCTTTTATGGAAAAATTGTTTTAACGTGTCAGGTTTTCACTCTGAACTGTTTTTAATGTTTACAAACCTCACTCTAGCTCTAATATTTTGTGTTTCTCCCTGACCGAGGAAAAAAACGCTTACTGCTGGTGGGAAGATTTTGCATTAACGTGGAGAGTCCCCAGGATCTTGTCCTAGTGAGTGTTTACAGCTTCAGCAGCGTGCGGTGTAACGAGAGAGAGGGTCTGGGTCTGGGGGTGGGGCGAGCAGAGCCTGTGTGAGAAGTGTCCAGCTGTGCACACACGGCATCACGTTCTGCAGAGCAGAGCAGCGTCTGATTTCCCTGCGTGGGTGGATTGATCAGGTAGCGCTGCTTGCCTGGGGATTCCGCAGGAAACGGTACTGTGCTGTCTCTGAAGGGTCGGGGTTAGGGCTCCCTGAACTGAACATCCCATACAATCCCAGTTCTGCCGCAGTTCCTTTCCAGGGCCGTGACCCAGGTCACCTGTTCAAACCCCTGGTCTGCTCAGGGGCCTTGGGCTGCAGGTGCAGACCCAGCTCATCAGGCGGTAATTCCCCTCCCTCTGTTCCCGCAGAGGGCAGCCAGGCCTGGTCACAGCGGGTCTGACGGAGCCCTCTTCCCGTGGATGTTGTGAGGCCGTACAAACCATGCTTCACAAACTCCATACCTATTATGTGTAGTGATTTTTGAGGAGATTATGACATCTGGATTTTATCTGTTCATTTTATATATTTATTTTGCATTTGTTGAGTGTATATGCTTAGTCAAAATGGGGCTTCTCTCCCTTTGAGAGTTCCATTTAAAAACAGGGTCACAAAGACTCAGCCTTGCATTAAATGGGGCCCACTTAGAAGGACCACCCTGAACTGTATCAGAAACCTCCTGCTGGGACTCATGTTACTTGGCCTCAATAAAAAAGCCGCCTTTGAAGTGAGATTGAAAAATAGAAGACTGTTCAGGCAGGGTTGTTGCCCCAATTTTCCCAAGTCACTTCAGTAAAACCAGTTTATCATCTGGTTGAAAGGAGCCTATTGGCCTCCTGAGGATGTGTTGTCAGCTGCAAGGAACGGTTCTGAAGCCCATCGCAGTTGTAAACGCTGATAGATGATAAAAAGTGGTGACACCTTGTGCCATAGGCCACTTAGGAATTATTGAATAATTTGCATCTTAGTGTTAGAATCTTGGAATTATTTATTCCCCTGTAACTATTTAATGTCCTTTGTGCCATGAGACTCTCCCATGGTTTTTGTAAATATATTTCTTTATATTTAATAAGCTCCCACTACAACCAGAAGTGGCCAGGTATGCAAATTGGTGTGATGCAGAGTCATAAGTCCTGTCACGCGTGGCAGTGTGGTGAGAAGGAAGGAATATGGTTGTCCAGTGTGAATGGAAAGACGCCTGCATTTTCCGTATGTTGTCTGTGTGTACAAACAAGACAATCTAGATTTGGGGGGCTTAAAAGGACTGTTTTTTGCAGACTGAAGGAAGCTTATTTTTGCATTTAATAGTTCCAATATGGACCCATGTCAGTTTGGTTTGGGGCATTTTTGAGGCTGAGGCAATCTTAGTGTTTCTCAGTTTTCTGGTGGGATGATATTGGCTTTCATAGTTGGTGCCAGACTTGTGTATGTTTGAATTTGTTCCTGGAGACTGGATGGTTGAAACCCTCAAGCATTTGGTGGAAACTCTGGTGGTTTTAGATGGATGCAAACACTGACGTCTTCAGAGAAAGTTTATCCTGGCATCAATTTGGTCGATGCGGTATTTTTTCTTTTCTCTGATTCTCCTTTAGCCTCCCTTCACACTGCTGAAGGCACGGGGTGGGGCGGGGGGAAGTACCTTTTCCCTTTCATACAGGGAGATTCTAATCACGAGAGCCTAAAGATACTTGTTGGCTCCATATAAAGCCAGGGAAAGACAAAGCCAGTTACAGATTAAAATCTCACAACAGAAGTTCGATTTAAAGCAAAGAAAATAGATTTTCACTCTACAGCAACAGTCGTCCAAGAGATTCCCTTTGTCCACAGAAAGGCAAGAATGTAGTAGCCTGCCCAGTCCCAATGGCCATGTCTTCCATGGCAACTTGAACCAAGATGCCAGCGTGGATGAAGCCCGGCCTGGCCCCAGGGAAGCCAAGGACACAGCCTGGTTCTGAGGGCTCGGCTCTGGAAGGTGGATGCCACCCCCTGCCCTTCGGGCACCATCACTGCCCTTTGGCTAAAGGCTCATGCCCATGGGCAGGCATGGAGTGTGTCCGACCCCACCCTGTGTCGGATGCTTCTGGAGAGAGCTTTGTGACTCAGTTGAAAACTTTCCTACTCTTTTAAAGTTTGCAGTTTCATCTGCCTTTCTTCGAAGGTTTCTTAGTGATTCAATCTTGGGTTAAGCCACATGCGGCCTCTGAGGAGATGAAGCACTAACCCTTTTGTCTGCATGTGTATGTGAATTCTTGCTTGCAGCGAATGACCCTTGAATATCCCCTCCCAGTTTCATGTGTGTGTGGCCCAAGCTCACCTTTTCTTGTTGACTCGCATGTGCTGTTTGGGAAGAAACCCACGTGTTTAAGAGGCGGACCAAGTTCCTAATCTCGGGCTGTACAAGATGTTCTGTGGGTCGTTCTTAGAATCTGTCCTAACGGATGAATAAAGTGTGGAGACAACGTGCGGCCCCTGTAGTGATTCTGGGAGGCCGTGACGACTGAAGTGGGTCCCGTTGTGCCATCCATGTTCAAAACAAAGCAACCATGAAGTCTTTGTGCCAGTGCCAGATTTTCATTTTCTCCACCTCTGGTTTACAGGAAAATATGACGTTACACAGGTAGCAAAAGGTGAAAACACCTTCTAGGCTGCTGCCGATTGACTGTCTCAAGTGAAATAAAAAGTTGCTTCCTGCTCCAGCGACTGCCATTAGCGTGTGAGGTCTCCAGACAGTTTTCTGGCTCCTAGTGAAGTTCGCAGAACTCAGGGGCTCCCTCTTATTTCATCAGCAACCATTCCCAGGACCAGCTAGGTGACAGCCGGGGAAGTGGGAGCAGGGGCGGGTCTGGGAGGGGAGAGGGAGGAGGGGGAGGCTCAGAATGTCTGCCGTGGGCCTGTCAAGAGCACTGGACGTGGTTACCCACCCAGGATGCTTCCTGCCCTCTTTGGAAAAGCGAGGTCTTGTGTCTGGAGCCCACCGGAGAGCAGGAGCCAGCGTGGGGAACAGCGTGCCTTGGCGCTGGGCTCTTGGTGTGAGTTTGGGGACTCACAGGTCTGGACAGGTGACTCGGATTCTGATTTGGGTGCCCCTCAGAGAGGACGCAGGCCTGACACCGCCTGCCGTGGCTTTGTAAACGCTCCTGGCTCTTTATGAAATCTCCTGTTTCTTCTCTTCTCAGCAGATATCTCTGAAATCATAACTGTCGGTTGAGAAGGTCATTTGAAATATCTGGCTCTTTACATTTCTTTTATTTAGAAACTGTCTCTGAAAGAAAATACCCTCGATATCTGTTAGATCTAGAAGAATTTTCTTCTCAAAGTTGAATGTTTGTTTAACTTTTCTTCACACCAGTAAATGGCATTTATATACTTTTAGGCTTGACACAGAGGGGTGGGTTCTGATATAGTTTCCCTTCGTTTGGTCTAGATTCTTTTTCCATTTGGATATAATTTCTCAACCTTGGGGATTTATTTTTTCCTTTCTAGTTTTGATTATTCTATAAACATAAAAGTAAAGAAAAAAAATTACCCGTAAGTCCGCTGAGTAAATCAGTGGCAACTTGCCTAGAATAAAGTTCAGTTTATGGATCCTTGAATCGTCTCTCTTTTTCACAGGGTTAGTCTGTTGTCTAGTTTTTATGCCAAGACTTTAATTTGGGTGACTTGCTATCTAGACACCCTGGAGTGTTGTGTTTTCTTTGGGATGCATTCTACACAAGGCCGAGAGCCTTCATTAAGGGGTTAATAGCCTGGACTCTAGTGAGCTACATCAGAACTTTCATGGTTCTAATTTAGAGTAGGAACTTGTCTCAAATGACCTTAATCAGCTTTGTTGGTGGGATTAGGGAGAGGCCCAAAGTTTCTTTTCATAACTGCACCTCAGAGGAGAGAACGCGTGACACAATTGATCTGACAGTGGTTTGTACGGGTTTCAGTAGTAGCCTGGAACTATCCAATCTGAGTCGTCTTTGGAGGACACTGCTGAAACCCGGTAGGAAGCACCCCTTTTATCAGGAAAGCCACCTGAAGGGACGGTCAGGAAACGAGGACAGCATGGGGGCCTGGTGTCCACGCAGGCAGGGCCGGGTCTGTCTGCTTCCCTTCGTGGGCCGTTTTGCTTTCCTGCATGTTCCAGAATGGTTTTGCAAATTTCAACTCTGTTCTCCTTTCTGCAGATGTGAGGAAGGCAGATACTCAGTGCTTGGAGGGAGAACTGGCTGGTCCAAGGGTTCCTGGGGGAGCGGGAGGGCAGGATGCCTGTGCCGCCTCCCGGGACTGGCCCAGGCCGCTAAGGCCTCTCGCCTGCTTCCAACTGTCACTCCGTAACCCGTTTAAAACCGAGTTTTCAAATCCTGCCTCATGATGAAACTGACGTATGTGGATAAAACCAGTGCTTTTCATAACTTGATTCTGATGTAGTTTCCTCTAAAAGAATGCTAGGGGTCGAAACTATTTGTATATGTTGAAATTTGTAGGGGTTCAGGAACCCGTGGCAAAAACACTTAACTATTTATTACAGGTATGACTGTATTTTTTCTTTTCCCAAAGTAGGTAATTATGTCTTGTGTATTTTAAGACAAATAATAATCACTTCACCTTTGGTGCCTTCCGTGTGTCAGTCACATGAACACTCTTGTCAATCATGGAATTGAAGAAAAAAAAGATGTACATTTAGTTAAACAAGATAACACTATTTTTGTAGCATGATTTTAGATTTTGTCCTTTTAATATTGCTTCCAGCAATGTTGGTTTTGAGGTTTGGTCGTTTTCCCTTTAAACTTCATTATATATCTTAAAAAAGAAGAAAAAAAAAACCCCAACCCCCCGGCTTTTCCTGTCTTGTTTTCTGCTGCTTTCTCCCCAACATCTCGTTTCTGCTTATTTAAACAGTCTGAGAGTAAGAATATATTTCTGTGAAATAGTTATTAATCAGTATAACTGCATTTGGCATTTTTTAACCCCTTTTTCAGTTTGAACAGCCACTGCTCATCTCAAACAGTAAGAGGAAAGTGGTTCCATAAAAAAAGAACAGAACATTCTCGGTGCTCTGACTTCCCCTTCTTTGGGTCTAAAACGGTGAAAAAAGCCCTTTCTCTGGCTGGTGTCTGTCTTCCGGATCAGCTCAGGCCGCCGTCCTCCGCCTTGGCCAGCCTCCCTCTGCCCGCGTGAGACGTGCTGGGGGGCGGGGGGGGGGGAATCTCTGCTGGTCTCGGGCTCACCTTCCACTCGGATCTCAGATTGGTTTGTGGATGCCCTGGGTAGGTTCCGTGGCCCTTCCTGGTTTCCCGCCCAAACGTAATAGATCCCCTGCTGTGACAAGCTTGATGAAATTAAGACACAGAGGACGTGCCGGCTGCTCTTTTTGCTTTCCCACCCCTGCAGGACTGAGTTATGTCTGGTCAAGAAAAGTCTTGAGTAAACTCGCTGAGCCCATTTAAAATGAAGGAATGGATTTATTAAAACATACAACTGTAGCTTTTGTGTGTGTGTGTGCGTCGCTTTGAAGGGTCGGAATGTGTCATTTTCTAACAAAGGAAGTCGAGTCAGATGGCTGATAATTCCCATGTGATTACTCGGTACTTGGCCCAGTGATACTTGGGAGAGGGGCAATGTTAATTTAACAACTACTACACTTTGCTTCTTAAAAGTCTATTTCCTTTAACAGTGTAGACACAGCTGCGGGGCGACCTGAGGTGACGCCTGGTTGGCAAACTTTGGTTTACGCTGTTGGTAGGTCAGAGCTCCCATCCTGGCTTTTGAAGCTGGTGTGGATGCCCTGGGGTGGGCACCACCCGGCTCCCACAGGCTCCCACGTTTGACTCTATTCATTTGGAGTGGTTTGGGGGCCCCAAAGCCTTTGTTCCTGTTGGTTTGTCCCTGACAGCAGACAAAGCCTCGTGCTGCCCTCAGTTTTCCCTCTTTATTTCTTTTGAAGGACCAATTTTTCATGGTACTTGTCCTGATTGTTTTCATAGTGTTCAAATCTGTATTTTTGTATGTAGAGGGAAATAATTTTCTCAACACTAATCGCTAATAAATACTGTATTAAATTGTCATGAAGGAGTTCTTGTTTAATAAACGGACATGTAAAAACAGTGTCATCTCTTTCTTCGCTCTGCCTTGCCTCCCGCCCCTTCAAAGGCTGTGGCCCGGATCCTGAAACAGGCCCGTAGGGCGGGGGTTGAACACAGCCACAGTTGGGGGTGAGGACTCTGCAGTGTCGCTGTCCACAGGCGGCTTGGCTGGGCCTGGCTGGGCCTGGCGAGGTGGGGCCACACCCACAGGCCCGTTGGCTTCTGCACAGTCGACTTTCATACGTGTTTTCAGAACACACTGTGTGTGGAAGTTGGGGCAGAATGCCTCGATCCTTTTCCATCGCCGGGGCCAAAGCGCTGACTTACCACGGGACGTGAGCCTGACGCGTGGGTGAGACCCTGGGCCTCTTGCGAGGACCTGGGCAAGTCACCGAACCTTCCATCAGTTTCCTGAACTGTGAAAGAGGATTGTGTGAGGTGTAGAGTAAACGTGCCGACGCCTAGCGGGGGCCTGGCGGGGAACAAGTGCGCGTGCATCACTGCTGTAACCTGGAGCTGCCAGGATCTACACAGCGCGTGGGACCACTCTGCTGACGCATGACACCCGGCAGCGTTGCTCCGGGTGTGTAAGGTTTTTTTCAAACACACACACTCCAAGCAGGAAGTCAGTCTGATTTAATCCATTATGGCTTTTTTCAGGGTAGGAGATTCACATGCAAGAGAAGAACAAAGATTACAAATGTCCAAAACATGAGTCCAGAGCTCTGGCTCGTTCACAAGGCCTCTTGGGTCACAGGAAATGCCATGTAAGAAGCTGCTTTTGTGTAAAAAAAAAAAAATTATAAAGTTACAAAATCCCATTGAAGATACACGCACAGCATAATAAGGTCCTTAGGTGAACACAGAAGGCACGTCTCGCCCCTCGTGAGGGTCAGGTGTTCAGAAGCACATTGTCCTGAGGGCCCGAGAGCCTCTGGCCTGCTGACGGCCCAAGGAAAGACAGGGTTTGGCTGGGCCTGCCCAGCTGCCCTGGGGGCTGTCACTGCCACTTTGTCGTGTGGAGCCCTCGATCTCTTGGACCTGGTAAGCTAGTCTACGAGCTCTTCTTGAAACAGTCTTAGACCCAGAATAGGCATGTCATCTGAAGAAGATATGGTCTCCAAGGGTGTAAAGGATCACTCATGGGCACTGGGACCCACTCTCTCCTAGATCACACAGCAAAGGCCAGTTTTCTCCCTGCTTCAAGAATGAAGAGGGGGACTTCCCTGGCGGTGCAGTGGTTGAGAGTCCGCCTGCCGATGCAGGGGACACGGGTTCATGCCCCGGTCCGGGAAGATCCCACATGCCGCGGAGCGGCTGGGCCCGTGAGCCGTGGCCGCTGAGCCTGCGCGTCTGGAGCCTGTGCTCCACAACGGGAGAGGCCACAACGGTGAGAGGCCCACGTAACGCAAAAAAAAAAAAAAAAAGAATGAAGAGGGAACTGTTGCTCCTTGAACAAAAGAATCTTGGAAGCGTCGTTCTCAACAAAATGCCTGCCGTGAGCAGGGGCACCAGATGCAGACAGAAGCCGCTGGGGCCCAGGGATGGCCCTCTGCCGGTTTCTGTCTTGTCTCTCCCCCACACTCACCACAGCATGACGTGCTTCCTGCAGTGGTATAACAAGGCTCTATCTGCTTTGTCCCCTTGTGCTGATTTTTGGCAGAGGTTCAAGGGCTTAAGGTCTGTGGGACAGAAATGAGAAGTGGCGGAACGACGCCCTCACGAAGAGAGAGGCTGGAGAGTGCTAAGCGCCAAGGGGTGTCATCGTGTATGCCAGGCTCAGGAACGTCACCCTGGGGCTGTGAGGAGGCCTGCTCCGTCAGCAACTCCCGCTGCTGCGCGGGAAGTCACAGCCTCCCTCCCAACATGCACGGTCCCCTGGCCACACTCCGGCCAGCACGGTCAGGAGGTGCAGGAGCGGAGGCCTGCGTGGCTCAGGCTGCCAGGGCAGGTCGGGTCTTCAGTCGGAGTCAGAGTCGGAATTCTCTTCTGAAAGGAAAGCAAAGAGGATGCCTGGCAGGAGTTTCGGGGCCAGCGGTGCCTGGGAGCCATCTCCGGGGAGGCACTGTCAGCTGGAACCCGGGGCTCAGGCCGCTCCTGCAGCTGATGGTGCCGTGGGTGGCGTCTGCTTGGCGCGAGGACCATCGAGTGCTTGGGAGCCTCTGGGTGCAGTCGAATGGAGGTGGGGAGCCCAGATGCCCCTTGCTCTGGGGCTCCAGGCCCTCCCAAATCTGCCTGGGCCGTTCTTACCTGGAGGTGTCAGGGTTGTATATCTGCCCCCCAACCCGCAGTTCAGCAGGTCAAAATGGGGCTAGCTATTGCCCAAGACACTAAAACATACTGGAAAATCAGGAAGCTTCTTTTTAGCCATTTCATAGTTTCAGTCTCCCCTGCCCCAGGAGTTTCGATGTCACTTGCCTGGGGACAGCAGGCACTCAGTGGAGAGATGCCAACTCCAAGGCGGGGCCTACAGGCCCCTCAAAAGCCCCCCCTTGTCCTTCTGTCCAGCCACATGTCACTGCTGATCCTCACTGGACACGACCACCTGTTCCAGAGAAACACCTCACCTGCCCTTTATACTCTGTTGTCTTCCCTCCACCTGTCCCATTTTTTTCTGCCTGCACACTCCTATACATCCATCAAAACCCAGCAATGGGGTCACCTCCACAGCCTCCTAGCTGGCACATAGGGTGGGTGCTCCCTCAGCTGCTTCATCCCTACCTCTGTTAGCTCTCGTTGTGCTGTTATGGTTGACATCTACTCTGGGCTCCTCGTGCCCCGTTTGTGCCGTGTGTGTACATCACCACTTTGTCTCTGGATCTAATTCCTGTCTGGGCTGAATTCCCTGAGGGCAGTTAGTTGGCCTTGCCCGTCTGCACATCCCTAGGGCCCAGCACATGGCAGCCTCTGTAGGTGTTTGGATCAACAGAGGCTGACAGAAGGGCCGCGAGGGATCATGGGACACCAGGCTGGGGGAGTTTGGTGCTGAGCCAAACATCCGATTTACTCAGTTGCAGGGAGCTGACACCTGCTTCTCCATTTAAAGCCTGCCTGGGGGTGTGGAGAGGAAGGGGCAGGTAAATGGCCTGGGCCCTCCGTCCCGGGTCAGCTCCTGGGCTTCCCAGCATTTCTGTGCTGGAGCCTACACCGCCCCTGTAACTCCTGCCCCCTGGGCAGGGACCTCCACCTCGTCTGGTGGCCTCCCCGGGCGGGAGAGCCCTGGGCTGTGACTGAGGAGGGCCTGAGGGAGATCACAAGCTCCAAACCAGCTTGGAGCTTGGATGCACCCCTGTAGGGCCCCCAGCTGGGCACATGCACCCCGAGGATGCGACACGTTGGTATGGCTGCTGTCACGGATGGAAAAACCAGCCATCTAACTTGCAGGGTTTTTTTTTTTTTTTTTTTTTTAAATCAGGTAACGGCACAACAGCCATTCTGAGCTGAAGGATGGCTTGAGGGACCAAAAAGTCTGTGGCACTTTCTTTGGGTCTAAAAAGTGAAACAAGCCCGAGCTTGACTGTGTTTGCCTGGGTGCTGCGGATAAGCATGAGAGCTTGGTTCGCTGGCCCTTAAGCTGGGGGTAGGCGAGACTGGGGAGCGGGGGCGCTGCTGTGGGACAGGCGGCCACGCTGCAGCCCAGTGGACGGCGTCCAGGGAGTTGAAGGCGAGTGACTGGCCGCGCTGGGGGCTCGTCAGGGAAGGTTTCATGAGGAGGAGGTGCCGGGCGTGCCCTCAGCTTGCCCTTCCTGGAAAGGCTGAGGCCCTGGGGAATCCTGTGCTCCCCAGAGGGGACCGGCGGGCTTTATGATCAGTGCCGCATGAAGGGATAGGAAAACCAGGCTGTGAAAACACTTCCTGCCCATGGGGAGAGAGGAAATGCTCTTACCCCAGCCTCAAACTAGCCGAGTGTCCCCAGGGGAGAGCAGGGCCCCTGCATCAACCGTTCCAGGTGATGCGCTGGGTTCCCTGGTGGGACCCACAGGGTGGCTACCTACCTTCTGCCTTGTCAGCTGCAGTCTCACCTGCGGAGTCCCCTTGTTTGAGGAATTTGGCCACATCGTTAAAGATCAGGTAGAAGTCAATTGCAAACACGATGGTGGCAAAGAAGCCAAACACCTGTGGGATACAGGGGACAGGGAGGATGGGACGTGTCATCAGGAGCTGGGAGCCTGGGAATGGGGGGGGGGGGCAGCCGGAGCAGCCGCTGCCCCATCCTCATAGCTTTGTTTTTATCTGCTTGGATAGTAGCTCAGATTGGCGGACACAGACCCCTCCCGTTAATGACAGATAGAAAAACGAGCTGTTAACTTGGTTTGGCAAACAGCCTTTTTGAACACTGGGCAGAGTAAATCTCCAATAAGAGGACAGTGGAGTCGCTGAGATCCACGTCAAAGTCCAAGGTACCGAGGCAGAGGCAGAATATGCCCAAGAAGCTAAGAGGGGCACCCACTTAGGAGTGGGGTGAACTTGAGTGGGGCATCACTGGGCATCGCCCCCTCCCAGGGGTAGAGTGGCTACTCACTCCGGCTGCTTTGGAAGCTCCGTCCGAGTATTTGGCCACAGCTGTGATGGAGATGGCGAAGTAGATGAGGGCCGCTGTGACACAGCGTAGGAAGTCCTGGGGAGAGAGGGGCATGGTCACAGCGCCGTGAGCTCCCTGGAGTGGGGCACAGCATGGGAAGGGGGCCGCTGGGAGCCGAGGCAGGGGAGAGGGGCTCAGAAAGGCACTGTGTGCCAAGAACAGGGCCGGAATCCCACCGTCAGAGGAGGATGGGCCTGGCAGCCTGGACACATGCGGCCCCCAGGTCCAGCGTCCATGGCGCTCCCGCTCTTCCTGGCCCCACCTGCACTCCCTGGTCCTCCCCCAACCTCCACCCCGCCCCTGCCCAGTGGCCCCCTGTAGGCTGCCGTCCTCTGCCAGGTGGACAACAGGGTACGGACCAGGCTGCAGCTCTCCCTGTGGGTTGGCCCAGATGCAGACTTCCCCATTTGGCGGGCAGGGAGAAGTTGGAAATCTTGTCACTGCTCCCTCTGGCTCTCCAATAGGGAGATCTGGCCCCGGACCTTGCTTTGCCACATACTTGTGGCAGATCATTTATGTATCATGGTTTCTGTCTACTGGTCCCTAAAATGGGGACGGGGGTGCAGCCCATCAGGAAGAACGCTGGGTATGAAGTCAGGAGACCAGAGTTCAAGTGCAGCCTTTGCTGTACCTTCTCTCTTACCCATTTCATACAGCAAAGTCCGGGATGGGGTTCTGGGCCCTCCCAGGTGATAAAAAGAGTTGTCAGGCGGCTGAGATCTGGGTAAGCCCTGCAAGTCCTCAGTTAACCTGCCCTGCCCCGTGTGGAAATGGCTAGAATTCCTGCGGCTAAGACTCATGCCGATGGGCCCAGTTGGGAACACCAGCGCCACCTGATGGCGAGGGGGGAGGATGCCGTCTGGGGTTCGTAGCCTCACAGAGGGACACTGGAGGCCCTGGAGGCACGGCAACCTGCCCTGGGTCATGTGGCTGCCGTGCGGTGGGGCCTGGATCATCCGAGGCCAGGCCTACCCACCAGGCTCAACCAACTGCAAACGCCCCCTCCAGTGCATTGAAGAAAGGGTGAGGGCCGAAATGCACAACTCTCCGTGATAGCCGGTCAACCCCTTCCTCCCGGGGCCCCAGCCCTCACCATCATGGGCCAGCACAAGCCCTGCCACTTGTCGTTCAGCTGCATGGCATCAGCAAAGAGGAAGCAGAGGGCCAGCAGGAACTCCAGCAGGGGCGCCGTGAGGAAGGCGGATGCTGAGGACGCCACATAGCAGACGAAGGTGATGAAAGAGAGACCCTGGGAGGTGGTGGAGGGAGAAGTCAGAGCCTGTGCACAGCCCCTCCCTGCAGGCAGGACTAGAGGAGGCTCCAGCAGGTGAAGTGACCTGCCCAGTCCTGCAGCTGCAGGATTAGAACTCCATCAGAGGCACACCCGTGCTGCCCCCAGTGCCTCTGGGCATGGCTCTGCATCCTGACCTCAGGCCAGCTCCCTGCCGGGACCCAGTCAGGAAGCCCCAGCCTCTCCTGCGTCCAGCCCCCCAGGAAGCTGCCTCCTGGGGCTGTGCCACTCCCACCCACCCCAGAGGCTCTACGGCAGAATCCACCAACTCAGATGGTGCCCAACGGGAAAATCAAACCCAAGCCGTCTCAAAGGCAGTCCACTAAGCAGGAACCAGTTTCAGAAAATTACACCCAAGATTTGTGCTTGAATGAAAAATTTACCTGAAAAACTACACAAATGTGGTGCTTTAGTTAATGATACACATGCTGAAGTATTCAGAGTTGAAAGGTACTGATGTCTGCAATTTACTTTGAATGCATCAAAAAATAAAACGTTTTGATGGACAGATAGATATGTGATAAAGCAAATAGTATACCCTAGGTGGTGGGTATATGGGGTTTTTTCTTGGTATATTTGCAAATTTTCACAATAAGGCGAAAACATCCAGGAGAGGGAGTGGTGACACTGACACTTCATGCCCTGCTGCATCATTTGTTCAGCCTTTGTGAAAGGTGGGGTGAACTGTAATGAGGAACTGATTAAGAATTAAAGTGTTTTCTGCAGCCCTGTCCACACACTGTGGGCGGCAACTGATGCGTGAGGATGCCGAGGCCCCTGGTTAGTTCTGCAGACCCGTGTGCTCTGAAGAGCAGACGGGGATGACGGGGCTGTTCACTGGACCAGTGCCTGCTGAGGCTTGTGGGGCCTCCTCAGCTCCTCACCACCACCCAGGCACCAGGTGCCCTGCACAGCCCACTTTGCAGATGAGAAGAGTGAGGTTCAGGGAATTGAAGTGGTGTGCTCAGTGTCATACAGCTAAGAAGAGGGCATCAGAATTTGAACTCTGGCTTGGCTGACTCCACATCTGGAGTTCTTAAGCAACACTGCCCTGTGGTTGCTGGCCTTTATCTGTCCTGGTTTTGGTCACTCTGGCTGGGTTTGAGCAGGTCCATGGCTGAGTAGCTCAGAGTGGGCCAGGGGCCTATGTGGGGATGACACCCAGATGCCCTACAGGAGGCCCTGTGGTAGCTTCAGACAAATGAGCTGAAGAGCACCCGTATCTGGTCTGAACATGACAATGGAGGTAGCTGAGCCCAACTTGAACAGATGGGAAACTAAGGCGTAGAGATGGGCTGAGAGGCTGCTAGGGCCTCCCAGGAAGGCAAGGCCACAGGACTCTGGCCTGGCCTGGCCCTATCCTCTACTTCCTCTGCCAAAGGCTGTTCTGTCCCTCCTTTTCCTGTCCCCTACCCCCAAAGCCTGATTCTGGGGATCCCTCTCTCGATTCTGTTTCCTCAGTCCCTGATTCCTGGTGGCAACTTCCTCCCCCTTCCTGCCCATGTCAGCCTCCCCACTTGCTTGGGCCTGGGGGCAGCCAGAGGTGACCTGAGGGGGCAGGAGTGACCTCCAGTGGCTCCCCTTGTGTCTTCAGTGCCCACTCCTCATCCGTCCCTCCTCCGCACTTAATCCTCCTAGACCTAGATTCTTGGCGCCCAGCTTTGCCGAGGGCCTCCTCTAGGCTCTGGCCAGCATCCCCCCCCCCCACCCATGAGGTGGGCCTGAGTGGGGTGTGGTTGGGGTCCCCTCAGGGGATGGTGGATTCAAGGCTTCTCCAAAAAAGTGGCTCCCATCAATCTCCAAAGTGGGGCTACGTGGCCAACCAGGAGGCAACTCCCTGGAGTGTGAGCTGCGAGTCCTGGACCGTGATGCCTCATCTGGGAGTCCGGCAGGTGCCAGGCTGGTGACCTCTGGGCTGACCCCAGAGGCAGAGGAGGTGGTAGGACGGCCTCCTGCTATCAGCTCTGGGTGGTACAAAGGAGAGGCTGCGGCAGAACCCTCCTCTCTCTGATCCCTGCTGTCCCCTGGCCCTCAACTGACCCATGTCAAATCCCCTAGAGGCTCGGGCCTCAGCTTTCTTGTCTGCAAAGTGGGAGTAATGACAGATTATCAAATTGCTGGAGATCTAAGTAACAAGTGCTCCACTCTTATCCCGCCTCCCCTCCGCTTGGCCTCTTCCTCCCCTTCCCTCCACAGAGGCCCAGCACCAAACCCCAACCCCACAGGCTGACAGTGCAGGAGTTTTCCGAGTGTCCCGAGGACAAAGGCCTCTTGACAGGCCTGGGGTGGGGGGCGGGGGCGGGAAGGAGGAAGGAGCTCAGCGGGGGCGGGACGGCTGGATCCTAGCGAGGGAGGGGAGGAGGGGGATGAAGTCACCCCGCTGGGCCGCCCCTCAGCAGCCTGGGTGGGGGTGGGCTCCCTGCGCGCCCCCCACTGTGTGGCCCGGGCCTCACCCAATCCCGGGGGTCCCCCCTCCCAGCTGGCTGGACTCCACTCTGGCTTCCGCCCTGCAGCTCGAGGCCCGGTCGGTCCTCCCTGAGCCCAAGAAAGCGGGCCAGGGAGCAGAGAAACGACCTGGGGTTCGCGAACGGCCGATTCCTCCTAGGCCCGGCCCGGGCGTGGCGAGAGGCTATGCGGAGCGGGGTGCCCCCGATGGAGGCCAGAAGATGCGGGGACGCAGCCCGTCCCAGAGGCCCAGAGAGGGCGGAGGCGCCGGAGGTCACACAGCGCTGGGCCGAGCTCCCAGGGGCCCGGCCGCCGCGTCGGGGGCCTCCTCCTCAAGCTTCCCTGCGGCTCCCGCCTCGCCTCCGACCCGCGGCTGAGCTTCAGCGAGCCCGTCCCAAACCGCGGAAGTTTGCCGATCTCAGCCCAACTTCGCGGGGCTGCGAGGGGCACCGGCCGGGCGGGGCGCCAGGACCCGGCCGTACAGAAGGCGGCGCCCCTAGCCCTACGCCCGGGAGCTGCAGGCGGGAGCTGCCGCAGGGGTCTCCGCGCCGCCGGGAGGGGGCCAGGGGCCCGCACTCACCGTCTCCGCCAGCAGGAGGCGGCCTTTGAGCGAGCAGAGGAAGGCGCGCGCCGGCAGGAGGGCGCGGAGCCCGGGAAGGGCCGCGTGGGGCTGGGAGCGGCCGGCAGGCTCGCGGTCTGGGTCGGGCTCCGGGTCTGGGGGCCACATGGCGGCGGCGGCGGCCGCGGCTCGGCCTCGCTCCCCCTTACTCTGCGTACAGGAGGGAAACGGAAACCCTGACTGTGCGGAAGGAGGATCGAGCCAGACCAGTTGGGAGCGGGGGCTCATCCCGCCCCGCCCCGCCCCGCCCGCGCTCCGCCCCGCCCCGCCCGCGCTCCGCCCCTCCTCGCTTCTTGCCCTCTCCTGCCCTTTCCTCCCCTCTTCGCCTCCCTCCCTCTCCCCTCCTCCCCCCTCCTGCCCCCTCCTCTCCTCTCTCCCCGCTCCTCTCCTCTCTCCCCTCTTCCGCCCGCCTTCCTCCTCTTCCCCTCTCCTCCTCCCCCTCGGACTTTGGCTGTCGGGGCTGCTTAGGCCCTCGCTGGTCCGACTGGCAGTGATGCTGGCTTGGGGCTTCCTCAGGCTCACCCCCTCATTCTCCCCTCACCCTTGTCCTGGCGGCTGGAGACCTTTTTATTGCCGCCCCCCGTCGGAGCTCCCACCCATCTCTCCTTGCCCAGAAGATTGTCTGCATTCGCTGTCTCCAGTCTAGCTTCCTGCCCTAGCTCGCGTCGGGCATCCAGGAACCTAGGCCTTCAAACAGCGAGACCTCTCTGTTGTCTTCCTGCGGCTTTCACCCCACTGTCAGCTCCCTGCCCCACTTCCTCTCTCTTTCTCCCCTGACCACCCCTCCCATCTTTGGCCAGCCCAGCCTCCTGCGGCCTCTTTGTTGTCTGCCCCAGCCCTGGGTTCGGCACCACCCCCATCTTCATCCCAGGAGGACTCCCAGATAGAGACCTCGGAGCCCCAGCCCTTACACAACACACACATGTCTCCAGGGCGTCTGGAGTTCAGTGTGACCAATACCCAGCCCATGACATTCTCACTATGCCTGAGCCTCTGCCAAGGGCACTGCCATCTGCCCTTCCACCCCCAAGAGCCAGAGACCTGGGGATTGGCCTCGTTCTCCCTGACCCCACCCTCACCTTCACCCCCCATCTATCACCAAGGCCCACACATCTTCGCCTCCTAAAGCTTTCTTAGATCTCTGTCCATCTCATCACCACATTCTCCATTAGATCTCAGACCACTGCTGTCTCCTTCCTGGACTGTTGTGATGGTGTCCTCTCTTGGCAGCCAGAGGGATGCTTAAATCATCAGTCACAGTCACCTCCATTCTCCTCACCTGGAAAAACCTTGGGAGCTTCCATCTTGCTCAGGGTCTGGGTATAGAGAGTAAAAACAGCCCCTTGCTATCCTTTCCTCTGTCTCTCCCACCTGTAGAGCTTCTTATCTCCTCCATGCTCCCTCTTGCCACAGGGCCTTTGTACATGCTGATCCCTCTACCTGGAATGCTCTTTCTCCACCGTGTTATCTGATTAACTCCTCCTTTTCTTCTGTGATCATACTGCATTGTCACTTTCTCAGAGGAGACTTCCCCAACCTTTCCAGCTAGGTAAGAGACATTCATTCACTCATTTATTTATTCATTCTACAGCAGTGCTAGAAGCCCAGGATGCAGGGAAACCCCAGCTTTGTTTGCGGGGAGGCTGGGTGGGTAAACACTAAGCATGTCCAGAGAATCCTGAATAAGATGATTCCTGGTAATAGATGTCTGGCTGGTTCAGAGTGCAGCCAGGCAGCCTGTGTGGATGAGAGGACTGAGCTAAGGGCTGGGGGAGAAGACAAATCAGACAAGGGGTGGAGCCACATTGTGGAGGACCAGGCCTTGGTGTTTGGATTTTACTCCAAATTCCCTGGGAGGAGGCCCGGTGAAGATTAGAACAGAGAATGACCTGGTTCTGATCTGTGTTAAGTAAAACATGCCTCAAAACTATAACTCAATAATAAGAAGAAAACAAGCCAATTTAAAGAATGGGCCAAAGATCTGAACAGACGATTCAACAAAGATATATGAACATCCAAGAAGCATGTGGAAAGATGTTCAATATCATTAGACATCTAAGAATGTGAATTAAAGCCACCATGAAATCATATTGTACTCTACACCTATCAGAGTGGCTTCGTAAAAAGGGGATGCTGCTGTGTAAGTGCTCGTGAGGACGTGGAGCTACCAGAACTCTCAGACAGCACTGACGGGGTGGAAATTGTTACCACCCCTTGGGAAGACAGTTCGGCAGTTCCTTTTTTTTTTTTTTTTTACATCTTTATTGGAGTATAATTGCTTTACAATGGTGTGTTAGTTTCTGCCTTATAACAAAGTGAATCAGTTATACATATACATATATCCCCATATCTCTTCCCTCTTGCGTCTCCCTCCCTCCCACCCTCCCTATCCCAGCACCTAGCTGATCTCCCTGTGCTATGCGGCTGCTTCCCACTAGCTATCTACCTTACGTTTGGTAGTGTATATATGTCCATGCCTCTCTCTCGCTTTGTCACAGCTCACCCTTCCCCTTCCCCATATCCTCAAGTCCGTTCTCTAGCAGGTCTGTGTCTTTATTCCTGTCTTAATGGCAGTTTCTCAAAAAGTTAAACAGAGACCTACCATATGACCCAGCCATTTTACTCCTGGGTGTTTACCCAAGAGAAATGAAAGCACGTGTCTTTACAAAGGCTTGTAGGCAGATGTTTATAGCAGCCCTATTTTTAATAGCTCCCCCTGGAAACCACCCACAGTCCATCAACAGGTAAAGGGATAAACTAACTGTGGGACATTTATACAGTGGAGTACTTCTCAGCAATAAAAAGAAATAAATCTTTGACACACGTAGCAACATGGATGCATTTGGCAGATACTATGTTGAATGAAGAATGTCAGACTCAAAAGGATGATACTGTATGAGTCCACTTTTGTGAAATTCTAGTACAGGCGAAACTAAGCTGTGGTGAGAGAAGTCAGATCAGTGGTTGCCTGGGGGCGGGAGGAAGCTTTCTGGGCGCTGGAAATGTTCTTTATTTCGACTGGGGTGATGGTTTTACAGGGACGTACGTTTGTCAAAACACATCAAACTGTGCACTTAAAAGGGGTGCGTAGTAGTTCATGTAATTTATCTCTCTGCTACTGAAAGGGTTCTGAGAAAAAAGAAAATACAGTGACTGACTAGAGTGGCTGAGATGGCCTAGGAGAGGGCAGGCCGATCCGGGTGGGTACCCTCGTATGAGGTGACTGGAGACCCGTGACGACTGTGCATTCCCCGGCAGGCTCTGCGCTCCCTAGGGGCCTGTCCATGGCCCGCCCCATCCCAGAACCCGTCACACAGGATGGCACCAAGACACGTCTGCTGTGGGGTGAAGCGGGGTGGCCCTTTTCCTTTTACATTCTTTGTGTAAGGAATATTTTCTGTTCTCCTCCACTTACTTATTTATCTTATTCTTTGGGTTATAATTATGTACTATTGTGCTTAATTTTGTTGGTTAAGTAGTTCCATCTTTGGCCATTAGGACCTCCTTCAGGTGGGTGCCTCTGTACCTAACATGCCCCGTCTTTTTGTCTTTTTTCCGTGTTTTTTTTTTTTTGTGTTTTTTTTGGCCATGCGGCATGCGGATCTTAGTTCCCCGATGAGGGATCGAACCCTTGCCCTCCGCAGTGGAAGCGTGAAGTCCTAACCACTGGACTGCCAGGGAGTTCCCATACATTTCCTTATTTTCTGACACTGTAAGATGCTTCAGGTTCATATTATATTCTCCCCATCCCAGCCCTAGGATAAGCTGTTCTTCCAAGGAGCTCCAGTGCTTTTTACTGGAGAATGGTGTTTAGCAACCAAGATCTCTCCGGACAGTTGTTTTTTTAATTAATTAATTAATTAGGCTGCTCTGGGTCTTAGTTGCAGCACATGGGATCTTCATTGCAGCATGCGGGCTATTTTAGGTGCGGCATGCGGGATCTAGTTCTCTAGTTCCCTGAACTGGGATGGAACCCGGGCCCCCTGCATTGGGAGCGTGGAGTCTTAACCACTGGACCAGCAGGAAAGTCCCTTGGGGCAGTTTTTTTTTTAATTAATTAATTTGTTAATCTATTTATGGCTGAGTTGGGTCTTCGTTGGTGCACGTGGGCTTTCTCTAGCTGCGGTGAGCGGGGGGCTGCTCTTTGTTGCAGTGCGCGGGCTTCTCATTGCGGTGGCTTCTCTTGTTGCAGAGCACGGGCTCTAGGTGCGCGGGCTTCAGTAGTGGCGCGTGGGCTTCAGGAATTGTGGCTCGCGGGAACGCAGTCTCAGTAGTTGTGGCACACGGGCTTAGTTGCTCCATGGCATGTGAGATCTTCCTGGACCGGGGCTTGAACCCCTAGTCCGCTGCGTTGGCAGGCGAATGCTTTTTTTTTTTTTTGCGGTACGCGGGCCTCTCACTGTTGGCCTCTCCCGTTGCGGAGCACAGGCTCAGCGGCCATGGCGCACGGGCCCAGCCGCTCTGCGGCATGTGGGATCTTCCCGGACCGGGGCACGAACCTGTGTCCCCTTCATCGGCAGGTGGACTCTCAACCACTGCGCCACCAGGGAAGCCCGGCAGGTGGATTCTTAACCACTGAGCCATGAGGGAAGCCCCCTCTGGACACTTTTAATTTGCATTTCTCTAGTTATGAGTGAATCAAACTTGGGTTTTTTGCATGTGTAAGAGCCATTTGCATTTCCTTTTCTGAGAACTGACTTTTCACGTCCTTCACATATTTTTTCTATTGTTGATTTTTAAAAATTAATATCTAAGAATACATATATTCAGGAAATTAATCTTGAAATGTGAGTTATGAATTTTTTTTCTGGTTTGTCATTTGTCTTTTGCTTTGCTTTTTTGCCATACAGATTTTCCTTTTAGAACCTGCTGTTTTTCTCCTTGAAAATATAAATGTAGTGAATGACAGTAGCAGGGTCTATGATGCTCACCATTCTTAGATGTAGTGGGATGTGCCTTTCTTGGTCATGGTGTTTTGATCTTTTGATAAACCTCTGGATTCATTTTATTAGTATTTTATTTGGGATTTTGGCCTTGATTTTCATAAGTAGAATTGACCTCTTGTTTTTATTTCATTTTATTTTTTGTGTTATTCTTTATTGTTTCCTAATGAATGCATTTAAAGCTATAAATTTTTCTCTGGGGATCACTTCATACACATCCCCAAAATATTGCTC